GAGATCTACGCTGGGGCCATGGCTGCACAGGAGCTACGCTGGCTGACCTACCTGCTGACCGACTTGGGGGAGCGGCCTCGTTCTCCTCCAGTTCTGTACGTCGACAACAAGGCAATGCTTGCCTTGTGTCGCGAGCAGAGACTGGAGCACAGAACGAAGCACATTGCTCTTTGCTACTTCCTTGCGCGTGAGCTGCAGCAGCGTGGTCAGCTGCGCCTTGCTTACGTGGCCTCTCGGGCCAACACTGCTGATGTCTTCACCAAGGCCCTTGGGTCTGGTGATCATCACCGTTTCTGCACTGCTCTTGGGCTTGTGCCCACTCTGCCTCACCTGTTGGTTGCTTGACTTGCTCTTGTTGTACACTGCTATATATCTTTATACCTGCTTGTTTTCTTTTGCTAGGTTGTGATCAGTGTACTGCCTTGCTATTATATACCTCTGCATGTGAACTGGCCTTGTGGCCACTTGCTTGTGCTCAGAATGCGTGGTGATTTTGTGATCCACCCTGAGCTGTGTTCTCTTCTGCAGACTGGTCTTGTGATCGCTTGTTGTGTTTGCTGTCCCCTACTTTGCCTATGGGGGTGTGTCAGATTACAATTGTATCTCTAGGCTACAGTAGGGTCACTCCTTAGTGAGTACAACACTTTTGGGTTAGGTTTCCTCTACTTGTACTCACCTCTTGCCTAGTTCAATCATTCATCCCTAGTTCTATTCTTGACAGTTTCTGCTGCTGACGGTGAAGATGTCTCCAACTGTATGCGACGTTTCGCGTAACTCTGACTGTTCGCATTCATACTCGCTAGTGCATGTTTCTTTTGAGGAATGTACTGCACTTTCATTTTTCTAATCGTAACATCATCAGCTCCTAGGCAGCTCCAATCATTTGTACCCTGATTCTCCATGTTGTGCATATGGCATTGTGATACTCTTTTGGTGAGGTTGGCCTTCAAAAGGAGAATGCTGGGAGGGTCAGAAATTGACTAATGTACTGAAGCATTCTGTATCGAAGCGTTTCGATCTAGCCATTACGCGCGAATATTTAAACCTGTTACCTGACACATGGTCAGTCGCGCTTCGTCACGGATGGAAGTTTCTAGTCTGTTTTGAAGCATTACCCAAAAATTGGGTCAGCGTGTTGTGTAAACAAGTTTGAAGTCATATTTGTTTGCTAAGGCTAAGGCACTAGCAGAGCCCAGAGGGCTTACGCTAAAGAGCGTTATTTAGCCGAACCTAAGTCCGCAAGCAGAAGGTGTTCCACACGCTATGTGTTGGCGCCACATTTAGCAATTCATGAAAAGCGTCGTTGAGCAGCCAGGTCGACTGTAGTGTTGGGTGTATTCGGGGTAAACCAGCACGGTCGAAAAACAGAAATTTGTGAGCTGAGGCGAATTTGACACAGTTGGCAATCGCTCGTTTGTGTTTTTTTGGACACATTTCTTCAGCACTGAAAGTAGATCAAGCAGGCCAGACGAAAGAGTGCGAGTGCGGTGAAGAGTTTACGTAAGGGATGTTGTCGAAGGTCTGTGAGCAGCGGTCACACCAGATTATATGGTAGCCGCGGCGCCTGCCAAAAGACACCACGCCGCGAATCTGCCTTCAAGTTGTACTCAGCTTTACATCGGAGGACGAACCCTCACGCCTGGAGGGTTTCGTAGTGAACGGGAAGCTGAAAAGGTAGGGGAATGAGAACATCGCGGAAAATTGGATCGCCCATTTTTGGCTCCCTTTCTACGAAAAAGCACACAAAAAGTCCCCGAAGTCATGCAAAACATCCCAGAGAAAATGTGACGGTAATGTCACATGCGCTGGGACAGATCTGTGATAAAATAGTCACGCTGCGGCAACATCCCAGTGACGCGAAGCTGCATCACAAAATTATTTTAACAGTGTTAGCTGCGGACACGTTCGGGTGACCTGGCATAAACACAAGAAAGTGACGAGAACATCACTTCGCCAGTCACATTTCAGTGACTTTCTGTACAGAATTCCGGAAGTTCAACGTCACATTTCCGTGATTTTTTCGTGACATCACTTCTTGGTACTTCTGTCCATGACTATTTCGTGACGCAAAAATGTCACGCAAAAGTGACGAGAAAGTCAAGTTGACCGTCAAAAAAAATTGACGACCCAAATCTAACCCAACATCGACTTCGAAGTCACCTTCCGGTTAGTTGAGGTAGTCACTCGAGGGTCGTAGGGTATGTCAGGTTGGGGTCACTCAAATTTGACCCTCGACTAACCCGGCGACCAACTCGAAGGTGACTTTGAGGTCGTTACTGTTCATCCGAGGCGCGAATCAGTATAAAGTGACCCGTTACATGAACAATACACTGGACGTGCTACACCTTTTTTGTTTTAGAATCTTTATATTTAAAATATAGCTGTTACAATGCATACAGCAGTAGTTTTAACACCTTCAAACAGGGATTAAATATTATTATACATTCTTAATAATTCAGGGTATACAATATATCCAGGGGCAGCAACATGTGGATACATTCATGCAATAATTTGACTAGCACAAATCACTCTCTCCTGCCTATTGCTCATCAACACCCTAACAGTATAGGCATTTCATTGCCATATGACATGGGTGTGGTTTTGCAACCACATCTGCATTTCCAGTATCACCTGCCACATCTCAGAAAGAAGCACAAGTAGGAAATGATGATGATGCTAGTAATGTGAAAAAATATGAAAGTTAGGTACTCATGACTTTTGAGGTACGAACCGTTACTGCAAATGCCGCCAACGCAAAGAGCCAATGTCGATTAATTGCCTGCAACAACAGCACACACAAACGCGCCAAAACACACTAAGATATAAATGACGCGAAACGATTATGTGGAAATGACCCTGTTTGGGCATCAGTATTTAAATTAGAGTATGCGGTTGTTGCAGGACCGCTCCACGAGCCCCTGATTATCTCGGCTTCAGCTCGCGAAAGCATGTAATCATGACTTAGAGGGAAATTACGAGAGACTCACCGTCTGCGCCTACATCGCAATTCCCGTCGGTTTCTGCGCAAGCGCCACACCCACCCAGTTACGAGGGGCTCACCGTCTGCGCCTGTCTGCGTTAGGTGCAGCTCCACTCACCCAGTTGCGCTCGTCGACGGTACTCGCGCCGTGTGATGCTCGTCAGCCACTGTAATGAAAATAGTACAAAAAACAAAAGGAAATTCGTGATTACAGGCCGATCACACTAAGGCATTGGCTGAAAAAACAACTGCACGACGTCGCGAATGGTAACTTGTTAACGATGGTTTAGGCTATACACGAAAGGCAGCATAAGCGCGACGACACACTATCCATTCGCACTTCCTGTCTGACGAAAATAGCATACGAACTGCTGAGTTTTCAGACAGGCAGACACAAAAGTGGAGCTGCTAAAAGCAATGAAAATCGACATTGCACAGCAAGGGGCGTTCTTAATGGCAACAACAGAGTTGTCGAGGTTTTGGACGATTCTAAACGGATTTGCAACGGTAGTGGGGTTGGGCGAGATTTGCAGAAAGGGCTGGAGCGGGTAGTAGGTGACTAGGATTGCGTGGTTGTGTGCGCTTCTGTGCACCTGAAGTCTCGAAGGCATGTGTGCAGATTTTGGCGCAGCTGGCAGATTTCAACAACCTGTGCCAGACAGGTGGCACAAAAGTACTGCCTTAGACTCGTTGAGCTGGCAGTTTTCAGCCTAGTACTACGCCACCTGTACAAGTCTCGCCAATTTGTGGCTCCCCTGCGCGTAATATCCTCATCTGATTTCGTGTGTTCTTGTTTTGCGATGCTAGGGTGTAATGTGTAACTTTGTTTCGCTACCGGTTCGCTCTTGGTGACGCGACGGGTGCTACGCAAGTCGCGCGAACTGATCGTGTAACCCGATTCTACAATAGGAAATTTGATTTACGTTATAGCTCTAAAGAGTACATCGAATTCAACTGCGTCTTTTGCATCCCATATATCTGGTTAATAATGCATACATCATAGTAAATATCCTGGTTATTATTGTAATACACTGGTAATCATTTTCTTAATAGAAATTTTACCCTTTTAATAAAATAACGATCTCATATTTAAAATACATGGTAATCATTTACTTAATAGAAACATTACCCTTTTAAGAAAGTAATAGCAACAAAATAATATCCTTGTAATAACGCGTCTGACAATACGTTCAAGTGCGTTTTTGAATATTTTGATTGAAAAAAACCATTTGAGGCCTTTTCGTATTTGTTTTTTTTAATCCAATATGAGTGTTACCGAATTGTTTACTGTTTAGGGTTATTTTATCTATTGAGGCATTTTTTTCCGAAAGCATGCGATTCGTCAATGTCTCATTTCGATGCGACTCGGGCCATTTCGACGAACGATTGGCCAATGTCAGCTCTCGTTGCGACCCGACCCATTCACGAAATTCTATTGGTCACTGTTTTTTTCGATGGCGGTTCGGGTTCATCTCGTTGGTCAGGTTGGGGTCACTTTCGGGTCAAGGGCGTTTTTTCGCGCGAAATCGAAGACCCGATGGTCACTTGCGGGTCTCGGGAGGCTGCATTTGACCTGACAGTCACTTTGGGGTGAGGTTCAGGTAACTTGTAAGTCACCTCGAGGATCCAAAATTCGGGTGGTGAGCCTTGGGTCGTCCCAATTTTGGAGATGCAGTTTTTCTCTTACTGGAATCACTTTTGACCATTCTCAAACGTGATTCCAACCAGCTTCTTTTACTGGACGTGCAGCGCAGTAAAGGAAATAAACACTGTGGATGAAATCCGCAGTCGAGTTTCATCCGATATAGCCAAGTCCAGTAAAGCAAAATCAAGCAGCGACATTTGAAGCATCATTTGACCAGAAAACATGGGGTCGTCTCGCTGACCTATGAACAACGAGTTGATGGAAGTAAGGCCTTCACAGCCCACCTGTCCGCTACTGACAAAGTTTCCCACTCACCTCGTTGTTTTTTTTGTCGTTTCTCCTTCCCTGCTTGATGCTTTCTCTCCCAGGTTCAGAATGGAGGAGAACGTTCCTGCACCGCCGCCCGCATCTGCAGGCCAACACAAATCCGCGGGACTGCAAGGCGCACCCGGCAAGGCGGATCATACTCCCAGCCGTCCTCTGCGGTCGCTGCAAGTCGGGGCTTCGCAGCGCGGGGGGGCGTCATCGCAGCGAGGCTGGGGCACGCCAAGAGCAGCACTTGCGCCGCTGACGAGCAACCAGCTCACACCGCTGACGTCACGTGAGTGATGGGTCGTGCCAATGATGCATGTGGACGACTCCGGATGCGTGTCCACTGTGACAGCTGCCCTCCCCTCACTTTTCGCTTCGAATCTGTTTTGTTTTCAACCCTTTATCTCCTTCAATGGAGCTGTCAACTTCTCTTAATCTCCTTCAGTGGAGCTGTCAACTTCTCTTAATCTCCTTCAGTGGAGCTGTCAACTTCTCTTAATCTCCTTCAGTGGAGCTGTCAACTTCTCTTAATCTCCTTCAGTGGAGCTGTCAACTTCTCTTAATCTCCTTCAGTGGAGCTGTCAACTTCTCTTAATCTCCTTCAGAGGAGCTGTCAACTTCTCTTAATCTCCTTCAGTGGAGCTGTCAACTTCTCTTAATCTCCTTCAGTGGAGCTGTCAACTTCTCTTAATCTCCTTCAGTGGAGCTGTCAACTTCTCTTAATCTCCTTCAGTGGAGCTGTCAACTTCTCTTAATCTCCTTCAGTGGAGCTGTCAACTTCTCTTAATCTCCTTCAGTGGAGCTGTCAACTTCTCTTAATCTCCTTCAGTGGAGCTGTCAACTTCTCTTAATCTCCTTCAGAGGAGCTGTCAACTTCTCTTAATCTCCTTCAGTGGAGCTGTCAACTTCTCTTAATCTCCTTCAGTGGAGCTGTCAACTTCTCTTAATCTCCTTCAGTGGAGCTGTCAACTTCTCTTAATCTCCTTCAGTGGAGCTGTCAACTTCTCTTAATCTCCTTCAGTGGAGCTGTCAACTTCTCTTAATCTCCTTCAGTGGAGCTGTCAACTTCTCTTAATCTCCTTCAGTGGAGCTGTCAACTTCTCTTAATCTCCTTCAGTGGAGCTGTCAACTTCTCTTAATCTCCTTCAGTGGAGCTGTCAACTTCTCTTAATCTCCTTCAGTGGAGCTGTCAACTTCTCTTAGTCGCCTTCAATGGAGCCGTGCTGTCCGCGCCATTGCACGGGTTCACGCTCAATGATCTCAATAATCCCAATGATCTCTCTCCTGCCGTTTGCTCTTGCATGGGTTTCATATGCGCGTTTTCTCTAGCTACCTATATGTTTGACGTAAGTCGTCCCTAAATCGGCTTCCTCCCATGCGTCTCCCCCATCCCCTCCCCCCCCCCCAGGTCGCACGACAGTGACCAAGACTCCGAGTGCCTCCACCACGGCACATGGCAGCTCAGACGACTCAAAGATCCAGGTGCGAGGACGCAAGGGATATAATTTGTTGTGCGTGTGTGCGTGTGTGCGCATGTGTGCGTGTGTGGGTGTGTGCGTGTGTGTGTGTGTGTGTGTGTGTGTGTGTGCGTCTGTGTGTGTGTCAGTGTTTCTCACTTCGTTTCTCCTCTCCTCCCCACCTCCGTTTCTTCTCACCTCAAGTCAGGTGTCTCAATGCGTCACTTGAAGGAGAAGCTGAACATTAAGGCTATCGTGAGGGTGCGTCCGCCCACATGCTCTGAGCTGGCGGGGTGTCCTGGGGGGCGGTGTGTGACGCAGGTCGCCGCCTGGTCGCTTCAGAGTCGGCTCAGAAAATACCTCCCGTTTCTTCTCTCCCCCCCCCACCCCAACTGCCAAACCAGGTGGTCGTGAGGGTGCGTCCGCCCACGGGCCCTGAGCTGGCCGGGGGCTCCTCCGAGGGGCAGTGCGTGACGCAGGCTGGGCCTGCAAATCACCCCAGTCCCCTCCCGTTTCTTCTCTCTCCGCCCACTGCCAGGTGATCGTGACAGTGCGTCCGCCAGCAGGCTCTAAGCCAGGGGAGGGCTCCAGGGCACAGTGTGTTTCGCAGGTCGGGGCCCACCTCGCTCATGCTCGTGAACCTGGTCAGGGCAGGTCGGGACTCAGGCCCTGGTCGCATCTGAGTCAACTCAAGATACACCCCCCATTTCTTCTCTCTCCCTCCACCCCAACCGCTCACCACCAGACGATTGTGAGGGTGCGTCGGCCCACAGAATCCGAGCTGGCGGAGGGCTCTGGAGCGCTGTGTGTGACGGAGTTCCAGCCCACTTCGCTCAAGCTCGTGAACCCGGACAGGCCAGGCGTGGCGAGCAGGGCAGGCGCGGCGGACAGGGCAAGCGAGTCGCAGCTGTTTGAGTTTGACCACGTGGCGGGGGAGGGCGCATCACAGGTACGCACTGGGGCACAGTGCGTGACGCAGGTCCAGCCCACTTAACTCGTACTCGTGCACCTGGACAGGTCATGCGTGGCAGCAAGCAGGGCAGGCGGGAAGACGGGCGCTCTTGGAGCCTTTGAAGGCCGGGGATTGGGGGGGGAATGGGGCGAGAGGGGGGACGGGGTAAGGGCGTCACAGGTAATCATGGGGATCTCGGGCTTATGTCCTGCCTTTCCCCATTCTTTCGTCCCCCGCAACCGCCTCTCTCCTCCATTTTCCAGCCCCTTCCGTTTGCCCAGCAGGAGGGCTTGTTTGAGCTGGCCGGGCGGCCCATATGCACTTTAACCTAGTATTTATTCCCTTTCTTTCCTTCTGTTCACACCCACCACCACTCACTCGTCTCTCCCTCTCCCCTCTCTCTCCCTGTCCCCCGTCTCCCCCATTCTCCGGTCTCCACCTCTCCCTCCCCCCCGCCCCCCCTTGCGGTAGGACTTGCTTGAGCAAGCAGCCCCCTTTTTCCCCCATCCCCCCACCCCCCCTCCCTCCACCGCCAGGAGAACCTGTTCGAGCTGGCAGGATATCTTGAGGCGCCTCACAGGCCATTCCCTCATTCCTCCTCACATTTCCCGTTACTCCTCCCGCTCCCCCTTTACCTCGCCCGCTCCCCTCCCTCCCCCGCCAAGAGGACCTGTTCGAGCTAGCCTCCTTTTATGAGGCACCTCACATGCCATCTTCTCACTCCTCCCCCTCCCCTTACCCCTCACTCCTCTCCTCCCTCTCCTCTCCCCCTCACTCCTCTCCTCCCTCTCCCTTCCCCCCTTAATCTTCCCCCTTCCTTTCACCCACCCTCACTCCTCTGCTTCCCCTCACCTTCCTCCTCTCCCGCCAGGAGGACCTGTTCGAGCTGGCAGGGCGTCCCATGGTGGAGAACTGCAACTATTTGACTTTGAGAGTTCCCAACAACTAACCGGTTGCTGCTCCTTTCTCCTCCCTGTCCGCCCCCTCTCCCTCTCCCGCCAGGAGGAGTTGTTCGAGCTGGCAGGGCGGCCCATAGTCGAGAACTGCATTGCCGGCTTCAACAGCACCCTCTTTGCCTATGGCCAGGTGCGCCCTCCCCCAGGTGCGCCCTCCCCCAGGTGCGCCCTCACCCAGGTGCGCCCTCACCCAGGTGCGCCCTCCCCCAGGTGTGCCCTCCCCCAGGTGTGCCCTCACCCAGGTGCACCCTCCCCCAGGTGCGCCCTCCCCCAGGTGCGCCCTCCCCCAGGTGCGCCCTCCCCCAGGTGCGCCCTCCCCCAGGTGCGCCCTCACCCAGGTGCGCCCTCACCCAGGTGCGCCCTCCCCCAGGTGCGCCCTCACCCAGGTGCGCCCTCACCCAGGTGCGCCCTCACCCAGGTGCGCCCTCCCCCAGGTGCGGCCTCCCCTCTGTGGTGTATAGCACCAGCTGCCAGCATGTGGGCCTGTCGCTCCATCCTTTCTGTTGTAGCGTCCCTCCTGTCCCTCCTGTCCCTCCTGTCCCTCCTGTCCCTCCTGTCCCTCCTGTCCCTCATGTCCCTCCTGTCCCTCCTGTCCCTCCTTTCCCTCCTGTCCCTCCTGTCCCTCCTTTCCCTCGTGTCCCTCCTTTCCCTCCTGTCCCTCCTTTCCCTCCTGTCCCTCCTTTCCCTCGTGTCCCTCCTTTCCCTCGTGTCCCTCCTTTCCCTCGTGTCCCTCCTTTCCCTCGTGTCCCTCCTTTCCCTCGTGTCCCTCCTTTCCCTCGTGTCCCTCCTGTCCCTCCTGTCCCTCCTGTCCCTCCTGTCCCTCCTTTCCCTCGTGTCCCTCCTTTCCCTCGTGTCCCTCCTGTCCCTCCCCCTGTGCATCCTCTTGTCTCTTCGCCCTTTCTTGACCAGTGACAACATTCACACAATCTATATCATACATGCTTTCCAAGACATATCACTTTTCAATCTTTCCGCATGCTCTTCTCCCTCCTAAACTGACTCTCCTTCTCCACTCTTCGTGTGCCTACTCCTTCTACCTTGTGTTTTAAGTTCTAAAGTTATATTAATATGTCGTAACCCTACTCCTTCTACCTTGTGTTTTAAGTTCTAAGTTATATTAATATGTCGTAACCCTACTTCTTGTACCTTGTGTTTAGTTTTAAATTATATCAATATGTCGTAACCCTACTCCTTCTACCTTGTGACACATCTCAGACGGGTAGCGGCAAGACATACACGATGTTTGGAGCTGACGTGGGCAACACGGCAGACATGGAGGTCGGCACGAACTGGGGGATGAGTCCGCGCGTTTTCCACCTGCTCTTTGCCCGGATGGAACAGGTGTTTGCTCTGCTGCCCACATCCTGCTGCAACTCCCAGAATAAGCTGATATCAAATAAAGGTCTAAGATATATGAGGCTTCCATTTCAGTCAGTGCTTCTATCACAACACTTGCCCCGCTTTTCAAGTACCCACCCTCTCCCTAAACTGCCTCCTCCTCCTTCCTTCTCCCCGCCCCCCTCTTCCTGCCCCATATGCCCCTCTTTGCAGGAGAAGCAGCGGAGTAAGGGCTTTGTCTTCAGCTGCACTTGCTCCTTTCTGGAAATTTACAATGAGCAGTTGGCTGACCTGCTCAACCCCACCCCCAAGCCCAGCTCCAACCCCAACCCCAAGCCCAACGCCACGCCCAAGCCCACACCCAAGCCCAAGCCTACGCCCAAGCCTACGCCCAAGCCTACGCCCAAGCCTACGCCCAAGCCCACGCCCAAGCCCGACCCCAAGGATGGCAAACTGGAGGTGAGTGCTGCAAATTGGGTGCGTTGTGCCGGTCATTGCCCTTTGGGTGGTAATGCCACCCTCATTCATGTGAATTCCACCTGATCACTATCAGCGTTCTTTTCCCCTCCCCACCCGCTCAAGCAAGCTCTTCTTTTTGCTTGGCTAACCCCAAGCCTCGTGTATCTCACGCCTTTCATACCTCGTTTCTTTTCGTGCGTTTCTTTTTCTTTGCCCGTCTCCCTCATATTGTGTATGCAGAGAACCTCACCCATCAGTCAGTCTTCATCCTTCAAGCCCCCACATGCACGTGTCTTGCACACCTGCCTGCCCATCCATCCATCAATCCCCACCTGCCTGCCTTTCCCCTTCCCTCCCGTGTCTCCCTCCCGTGTCTTCCTCAGATCCGAGACAGCCTCAATGGCTTTGTGGACAACCTCACGTGGCAACCGGTCGAATGCTTCGCTGATGTCATGAAGCTCATCCTGCAGGTGAGTCGGCAAGCCTCAGACACACCTGCAGGTGCATTTGAACTTCACCCAGCAACCTCCCATGTCTCCCTCAAATGCTTTGTTGATGACATGAAGCTCATCCTGCAGGTGAGTCGGCAAGCTTTGCCTGCTTTCGTACAGATGGCTTGTGGATTGGCTTTATGGTGCTTTCTGGTGCTTTCTGGTGCTTGAACGGCGGGGAGGAACATAGACGAAGAGAGTAGGGATGTGGGCTTGTAACCATGTGCTTGCATTGGCTGGTGCGTGTGTGTGTGTGTGTGTGTGTGTGTGCATATGCGTGTGCGTGCGTGTGCGTGCGTGCATGCGTGTGCGCGTGCGTGTGCGTGTGCACCCGCGCGCGCGCGCGTGTGTGTGTGTGTACGTGTGCGTGCGCTTGCGTGTGCGTGCGCTTGCGTGTGCGTGTGTGTGTGTGTGTGTGTGTGTGTGTGTGTGTGCGCGCGCGCGCGCGCGCATGTGTGCAGGGACTTGAGCACCGGAAAACAGCGGAGACAAAGATGAATAAAGGGAGCAGCCGCTCCCACTGTGTCTTCACGTGTGACATTGAGAGCACGGTGGGTGCTGGCAGGCCTGAAGCACCGTACGGTGGGTGCTGCTGATGAGCCAAGGTGCAATGGTGCGTTCTTCTGAGTGGAGGCGGAAGTCACATTGAGAAGTCCACGTGTAACGTTGAGAGCATTCACAATGTCGTTAATCTGGACGCTTTGTGAGCACATTCAAAGCGAGCCTTTTACTTTCTTTCCTATGTCACGATCTTACCTCATTTTCTTCTTGTGTCACTACCTTATGTCACTTTCTTCTGTCACTGTCCATGTCAGTTTCGTGTGTCACTTTCTTGTGTTAATTTCATGTGTGTATCCCCACCCCACCACCACCGCAGTGGACTGGTGAGGGCAGCGAGAAGAGTCTATCCGCTCGGCTGAACCTTGTCGACCTTGCAGGCTCCGAAAAGTATGGAATGACTTCTCATAACACGCTACTCTTGCTGTAACTCTTGCCTGAAAATACTCGATTGTCTCGTGCCATGTCTTTTGGCAAGACATGGCAGTGTCATAACGTGTTATGTGTTGTCCCCATGGCAAGGTGACTGAGTGACTTCACTTGCAGGTCCTTCCTGCCCACCATGCTTCACTTGTGTTCATTCATGCCTCCTCTTACTTGTACTGTTTGTCTCGCATGCGGCCGATCATGGCGTATGGCAGCACACACAGCTCCCCGCCCCACACATGCTTTCCACTCCACTCCACCCCTCTCCGCCCCTTGATCTGATCTGCTGGCCTATTATGTCAATAGTGCCTGCCATCCACTCCAGCGCCACTCCCCTGCACATTACCCCTCTCCACCGCTCTCCACCCCTGGCAGCCCGGAAAAATCTGGGGCGGAGAAAGAGCGGTTTCAGGAAGCGCTCAACATCAACTTGTCCCTCCTCCATCTCGGGTGTGTTGCGTCCTTTCCTTGTCTCCCTTTCTTGACCAAGTGTGTTACTCACTCTGCTTGAGAGAAATTTCTGTGAACGCACTTCTCTGTCAGCTCAGGCTTGTGTACTTTGCTTGCTCATATTTTTCTCTTCGAACTGAATGGATGAATCATGGCATGCTGTATCGTTGCAACTCTTCCTCTGGCTGCTCGTGTCATGGAAATGACTGCTACTGTGCAATGCCCTGTTTTTCGCCAAGGCTGTTGTTAGTGTATATGTTTGTTTGTTTGTTCTGGCTTTGCTTTTTGTTTTCTTGTTTATCAATGATTCTCAAAGCTAGGTGGTTTCTCTTTAAATTGGCATGTCTGTTGTCATGTGTTGCTTATCCTGGCCTGCTGTTGGTGCCTTTGCTGGGAGTTGTGAGAATGAGGAACGGGGTTAGAACCAAGAGAATGAGAGGGGGTTGGGAAGGGAATGAGAGCCAAGTGAGGTAACTTACTTTCATTTGTGTGTGTTGCCTGATGTCATGCCGTGCCATGATATGTCATTCCATGCCATGTCATGTTGTGCCATGTCATGTGATTTCGTGCCATGTCATGTCATGTCATTTCACGTCATGTCATGTCATGTCGTGTCATGTCATATCATATCATATCATATCATATCATATCATATCACATCACATCACATCACATCACATCACATCACATCACATCGCATCATATCATGTCATGCCATGTGTTGCTCATGGATGCCAGAAACGTCATCCACGCGCTGAGTGTGGGGGACATTCCGGCGTACGGCACCTCGCTCCTCACCCGCTTCCTCCGGGTAAATACCCTTGTTCCAGGAAAAAATCCCCCAAGTAGATAAGCTTGTAATCTTGATCGCTAAAGGCAGAAAAAACTTCTACCTCACTCTATCACTCTCTTGCCACATGAAGAAGACCCAACAAGGTTAGTTGAGTTTTTGATTCTGTAAAGAAACAAAAGGCTACTACTACCCACCTGAACTTGCTTGTTCGGGTGAATATTATTGCACAAGGTTGAATACCTCTGAGATCATGTGGTTTTCTCCCCGAAGGGAGTAGCCGAGCTCCGCCAGGGGAGTAGCCTCGCTCCTAGCAAAAAATCCAGTCCCTGTTGGCTTTACTGATGCCCCTTTTGCAGCGCTCCTGTTCTGCTGTGCATACTGCGTCCCTGCTTTCTAAGCATGACTACCTACAGAGAGTCCGCCCCTCTGTCTGACCTGACTTCTGTCCTCCCATTCCCCGCCATCTCATCTCGAATGCAGGACTCACTAGGCTAGCACTTTTGAGTCGACTCAAAAGCTGCCCTTGCGCTCTGTCCTGACGCATATGTCCTTCCATTCCCCACCATTTCACAACGTATGCAGAATTCCCTGGGCGGCAACTCGAAGACCACCCTCGTTGCGTGCATCAGGCGACTTTTGAGGCGCCTCAAAAGTCGCTCTGTCTTGACGCATATGTCCTTCCATTCCCCACCATTTCACAACGTATGCAGAATTCCCTGGGCGGCAACTCGAAGACCACCCTCGTTGCGTGCATCAGCCCGGCTTTAGGGTAAGTGTTGAGACATCCAAATATTGAATCAGCACATTCGCATGATAAGCGTTGGGATGTCTCAAATGTTGATAAGCCCGGCTTCTGGGCATGTGTTGAGACGTCCCAAAATTGCATCAGCTCGTTTGCATGGTAAGTTGTGACATCTCAAGAGAGGCGCGGTAGCCTGGCCGCAGGGTAACCAGCCGTGTTGTGAAGCCGGGGCCATAGGTGTCCGTCTGTGCGTGTGTGGTTGGTGCTTGTGGATCCTCCCGCGATACCATGAGTGAGTAGGAGCAATGTCTTTTCTTAGGCACCTCACAAGCATGACCCAGAGGTGTGTGTCTGTGCGTGTGTGGTTGGTGCTTGTGTAGCTGCCCAAAACCCGAACCCATGCATGTGTAACTAGGAGCATTGTGAAGCTAGGGTTAACAGCCTGATCACATTGTGTGCTCTCATGCTGTCTTGCCTGCATTGCCTCCCTTTCTGCTATCCCCTTCACGCATTTTGCCTTATTTGTGTGTCTCTCCCTCACCCATGGCCGCAGGTCGAACTATGAGTCGCTGAACACGCTCAGGTTTGCAGTGAAGGCGAAGGAGGTGTGCAACACGGCAGTGGTGAACGAGGCTGCAGAGAGCCAGCAGGACGCCCTGCAGAAGAAGGTCAAGAGGCTCGAGGTGCGATGCCCCCTGCCCTGCTGCCCCCTGCCCCCATGCTCGCTGCTTCTCTGCCGCCCTGCTGCTGCCTTGCTGCCTTTTTCTCAAGAATCCGCGGAGGGCCAGCAGGACGGCCTCAGGAAAGTGATGACCAGGACCAAGGTGTGAAGCTGCCTTCCCTGCTGCCTTCCCTGCTACCTTCCCTGCTGCCTTCCCTGCTGCCTTCCCTGCTGCCGTCCCTGCTACCTTCCCTGCTGCCGTCCCTGCTGCCTTCCCTGCTGCCGACCCTGCTGCCTTCCCTGCTGCCGTCCCTGCTGCCTTCCCTGCTGCCTTCCCTGCTGGCCTCCTTGCTGCCCTCCGGCCCCTCATGATATACGCTGCCGCCAGCTCCTCTGCTTGGCGTGTGGTTTCGGATGATACTCTCATCCGTTGACCCTCTATCCTCGATTCCACTCCATTCCCCTCACTTGTTGCCATGACAGTTATCAGCGTAAGTGTGCATATGGTGCCACCGATCTATTCCAGTCAGCCTCCGTGGCACGTTTCTGCTTCATCCTCACCTTACCTCCGTTCCCTTCCCTTCCCTTGCCTCCCTCCTACCTACCCTCCCCATGTCGTTCCTTTCTCACCTCCCTCCTCCCTCCAACCATGCTTCCGACCTCGTCCACCCTCCCTCCCACCACACAGGACTAGCTTCACCACCTGCCGCCACCTCTGCACCTGCAAAGCCTATTTCTATGGCGCCTAAAAAGAAGGTTCCTTCTTCCACCTCCCTCTTCCGCGATCCACACAGGCTGAGAATCAACGCATCCGTGAGCATTGCACCTGCAGATCCCATCAGCGCCTCCCCTCCTCCCCCTCCACCTCGACTCCCTTCCCCCTCCCTCAATCCCACGCCACCACCCCCGCCACACCCCGCTATCCCACCACCACTGCCACTGCTGCTGGTGGTTCTACTGGGATGGAGGAGGTGGAGGGGATGGTTGAAGGAGAGGGAGAGGAGGAGGTGGGAAGGCTGTCGACAGTGGCGGAGGGGGAGAGGGAGGAGGAAGCAGTGGGGGGGGAGGAGGAGCGGCAGGAGGGAAGTGGGTTGGATGCTGTGAAGAGTGGTGTGGTGAGTGGGAGGGATCAGGTGAGCCTACTGGTGCAGTATGTGCCTCTCATCTCTCCTCTAGAGGAGTATGTGCCACCCACCCCTCACGCCTCTCTTGTATGCATCACCTCTTCCTCTACCCGTGCAGAAGTTAGTCAGCGGGAAAGAAGGATTCAATGAGCTTTTGCGCCCTTCCCTTCCCTCCCTGCCCTTCCTCCCCCCTCTGCCCTTCCTGCCCTCCCTGTCCTGTCTCCCCTCCCTGCCTTGTCTGCCCTCCCTGCCCTCTCTCCCCTTTTCTTCCTTCCTTGCTCCACCAGGAGGGCAGCATCAGGAATCTTGAAGCGGCGTTTTCTGGCACCAAGGGGTTTGAGACTTCCCTTCCCACGGAGGGCAAGGCTGCAGCAGCAGAGCGAGAGAGAGCGGCAGAGCAGGTGGAGGAGGTGAAGAGGGCTATGGAGGAGAGGGATGAGGCGGTGCATTCGGCGAATGAGCGGGCGAAAGAGGTGGAGGAATGGAAGGAGAGGGTGCGCGAGGCGGAAAGGAGGGCGGAAGAGTTTGCACTGTTACTGAAGGAAGCAGTGAGGAAGGTGCAGGAGGCTAAGGAAGAAGCAGCAGCGGCGGGGGAGAGAGCGCGAGAGAGAGTGGCGGGACTGGAGGAGGCAAAGAGGAGGATGGAGGAAAGGGATGAGGCAGTGCAATTGGCGGGTGAGCGGGTAAAAGAGGTGGAGGGATTGGAGGAGAGGGAGCGCAAGGTGGAAAGGAGGGCGGAAGAGTGTGCATTGTTGCAGGAAGAAGCAGCAAGGAAGGCAGAGGGATTGGAGGAGAGGGAGCGCAAGGTGGAAAGGAGGGCGGAAGAGTGTGCATTGTTGCAGGAAGAAGCAGCAAGGAAGGCAGAGGGATTGGAGGAGAGGGAGCGCAAGGTGGAAAGGAGGGCGGAAGAGTGTGCATTGTTGCAGGAAGAAGCAGCAAGGAAGGCAGAGGGATTGGAGGAGAGGGAGCGCAAGGTGGAAAGGAGGGCGGAAGAGTGTGCATTGTTGCAGGAAGAAGCAGCAAGGAAGGCAGAGGGATTGGAGGAGAGGGAGCGCAAGGTGGAAAGGAGGGCGGAAGAGTGTGCATTGTTGCAGGAAGAAGCAGCAAGGAAGGCAGAGGGATTGGAGGAGAGGGAGCGCAAGGTGGAAAGGAGGGCGGAAGAGTGTGCATTGTTGCAGGAAGAAGCAGCAAGGAAGGCAGAGGGATTGGAGGAGAGGGAGCGCAAGGTGGAAAGGAGGGCGGAAGAGTGTGCATTGTTGCAGGAAGAAGCAGCAAGGAAGGCAGAGGGATTGGAGGAGAGGGAGCGCAAGGTGGAAAGGAGGGCGGAAGAGTGTGCATTGTTGCAGGAAGAAGCAGCAAGGAAGGCAGAGGGATTGGAGGAGAGGGAGCGCAAGGTGGAAAGGAGGGCGGAAGAGTGTGCATTGTTGCAGGAAGAAGCAGCAAGGAAGGTGCTAGAGGCAAAGGAAGAAGCGGCAAGGAAGGTGCTAGAGGCAAAGGAAGAAGCGGCGAGGAAGGTGCAGGAGGCAAAGGATGAAGCGGCGAGGAAGGTGGAGGAGGCAATTGAAGAAGCAGCAGCGGCGGGGGAGAGAGCGCGAGAGAGAGTGAGTGAGAGAATGGAGGGGCAGGAAGAGGAGGAGGGAGGGAGTAAGAGATGGGTGGGGGAGGAGGAGGAGGAGGAGGAGGAGGAGGAGGAGGAGGAGGAGGAGGAGGGGGTGAGGGAGAGACTGGGGGTGCAGGAAGAGGAGGAAGTGAGTGAGAGAATGCTAGGGCAGGAGGCGGGAGTGAGTGAGAGAATGGGGGGGGAAGAAGAGGCGGAGGGAGTGAGTGAGAGACTGGGCGGGCAGGAGGAGGAGGAGGAGGAGGAGGAGGAGGAGGAGGAGGAGGTGAGTGAGAGACGGGAGGGCCAGGTGGAGGAGGAGGAAGATACCGGGAGCCCGTTGACGGTGCGCCGGGGAGCAAGAGGAGTGGCGCGGCTGCAGCTGAGGGAGCAAGGGAAGATGAGGAGGGAGCTGCGGCCGTTCACAGTGGTCGAGGTGGCGTCGCTGGTGGCTGCTGTGGAGGATATCGGTACTGGCAGGTGGGTGAGGGTGAGGGTGAGGGTGGTGAGAAGGATGCCATTCACTGTGCCTGAGGTGGTGGTGGTGGTGCGCTGGTCGCTGCTGCGAAGGTGCTTGGCGTTTGCAGGTGGGTGAGGGTGAGGGTGATACCATGAGAGTGAGGGTGATGGTGAAACCTTGAGAGTGAGGGTGAGGGCGTGTGAGGCGGCGACTTCTCACAGTGGGCGAGGAGGAATTGCAGTGCCTGCGGTGGTATAGCTGAAGTCTATTTTTTAGGCACCTTAAGAAGAGGAGACTGGCATTGGCAGGTGGGTGGTGGGACGGATGGGTATAGCCTAGATGTGTGGGTGGGTGGGAGCGAGAGGGGTTGGTCAAAGTCCAGCTGGGCATCCAGTAACTGCTTTTGAGTCAACCCAAAAGCTGGTCAAAGCCCAGCTGGGCATCCAGTAACTTTTGAATGCCTAGCTGTTGGATGCTGTAATGAGTAGCGATAGTTTGAGTGGGAGAGTGAGAATAGATGTTGGAGTAGGAAAGAATAGATGGTGCTGATTGCTTTTCTTTCTCACCTAAATATCTCACCAGGGGTGCAGGTGAGTGAGAAAGCAGAGATGGGTAGGAGGAAGAGAGAGGCAAGTCAAGGGAATGCTGCACACTTTGGCTGCTAGAAATATCGGATTGGAAATTCTTCTCCCCCCATTCGGACCCCAACCGTCCTCTGCCCTCCCTGTGTATTTCAGATGGAAAGAAGTGCTGCGGAGGGCGTTTGCCAATTCAATGTACCGGACAGATGGGGACCTCAAGGTAAGGATCGTTCTTCTCTTTCCATCTTCTCGTCTTCTCATCTTCTCTTTTCTTCTCTCAACATTTACAGTTGTTCTCTTGGGTCCTTGGTGCTCTCTTGCCACCAAGAGCTCAAGCACGTGAATGGTTTGACATGCTTTTGTGGAGCCTCTAGAGGAGCCTTAACACTCCTAAGGTGCCTCATCAGATCGTATGTGACTATCACCTCGCAGCTCCTTTGACGTGCTTTTGTGGCGCCTCTTGAGGTGCCCCTTGAGGCGCCTCAGATCGCATGAGGTGCCCCATCAGATCGTATGTGACCACCTCGCAGCTCCTTTGACGTCCTCAGGAAAGCGGATGGTATTGTGAGAAAGTGGTCTGTCTGTGCATACGACTTCCTCGGAGCTCATTCATTTGACTTGTCGCTTTTCCGCACTTGTGTGTCGTTTTACTCCCTTCCCGTTAAAAACCCCCCTTGCACTCATCAGGACAAGTGGAGGAATCTGTTTACTCCCTTCCCGTTAAAAACCCCCCTTGCACTCATCAGGACAGCAGCGGCGGTGCAGGGTGGAGGAGGAGAAGTTGGCAGAGGAGCTGTTGAAACGAGTGAAGCGAGCGCATGAGTACTGGGAAGAGCAGCACAAAATACAACGAGAGAGGCAACGTTCGTAACGTCCTAACTACAACTGTCGTTTCTTTGCTAAACTTTCTCCTACGCTGCTCCTCGCTGGAACATGTCTCAATTCAACTCAATAGTCACCGTGCACTGACCTTCGAGAAGATGGCAGGTAGCTGGCCAGGTGAACTCTTGTATCCGTTGAGATACTGAACTTTAACAAGAGGCTCCTTGTATCACTCCTTCTGCCGGATAGACCAGAATTACTCCTTGTGTTTGAGTATGCTTCTTACCCCACCTCCCCCGCCTTTCCCACCCCTTCCTGCCTTCCCCTCCTCCCCTGCCTTCCCGTTTGCAGGTCGACAAAGGCGCCCTGCGCGAGCAGCAAGAAGAGCTCGCAGCAGCAGCACAGCAAATGGAGGTGAATCCAGAGGAGCAGCGGGCGAAGGAAGAGGAGCAGCAGGTGGGGCAGAAGGAGCAGCAGGTGGGGCAGAAGGAGCAGCAGGTGGGGCAAACGGGGTTGGGGGTGAAGTGACTGCAGGCAGAGGCGGAGGCCACTATAGGAAGAAGGGGAGGCAGGCGGAGGTAGGGCAGGCGGGGGTGGGGCAGGCGGGGGTGGGGCAGGCGGAGGTGGGGCAGGCGGAGGTGGGGCAGGCGGAGGTGGGGCAGGCGGAGGTGGGGCAGGCGGAGGCGGGGCAGGCGGGGGCAGGCGGAGGTGGGGCAGGCGGAGGTGGGGCAGGCAGAGGTGGGGCAGGTGGTGTGGGGGCAGGCGGAGGTGGGGCAGGCGGAGGTGGGGCAGGCGGAGGTGGGGCAGGCGGAGGTGGGGCAGGCGGAGGTGGGGCAGGCGGAGGTGGGGCAGGCGGAGGTGGGGCAGGCGGGTCGGGACGACTGTCATGAGGAGGCGAGCCTACAGCAGCGACAGGAGGTTAGTGTTGTTGGGAGGCAGGCCGCTCTGGGTATGTTTGTGCTTACAGGAGCGATGCTGTTGTAACGGCAGAAAGAGAGTGGAAGAGGAGACGCACGAGAGACAGATGCACGATGCATGAGATACACATAGGGAAGATCGACAATGGTGAGGAGGTGAGGCTGCAGCGGTGACTGAAGGTGAGTGTTGTTGGGAGGCAGGCCGCTCTGAGTTGTTTGTGCTTAGAGGAGCTATGCATGAGAGACAGATGCACGATGCATGAGAGACACATAGGGAAG